CCACGCATAATAGAGAGATATATGTGATCGTATATAAATGTATGCAAGGTTTGAAAGGATTATGTTTTAGTCAAACATTATATCTGTTTGGGCATTGTTGCGATCAATTTGCAGTCTACACATTTTTTTGTAATTATGTTCCGGCCCCCTGACCGCTCAAGAGAAAATAGTCTCGCGGCTGAATCTAGTTGATGATCCCTGCAGTAAGTGTTGCCATGATGAATGTGGATCATCCTTGTGTGTATGTCAAGTGCCATGCCAGTATATAGTAGGTGATGCCTTAGTCCTTCCAAAAGCTGCCTGTCCAGCCTGACACCATATGGAATTACTTTTGATGAATTGCCTAGGTCTTTCATTTATTTCTGCCTTTTGAAGTTGCCTTGTTGAATACAAGCCTTTGTGGGGATTAGATCCACACTTGAGCCACACACCAAATGAGCAGCTTAGCATGAACAAGAAATGTTCCTTTCTTTGACAGCTGAATGCAATGAAACACCATGGCATCCACTCACACTAAATCACTCCAGACATTCTATGGGATGGACAGCAGCTTCTTTGATGTGTCGCTGAGAAGGATCATTCCTTTGGTAGGCTTCCAGGTGAGCTGGAGGTGTAACGACTGTCTTTTAATGAGACTATGTTTGCTTTGAGGATTGATCTGAGGACCCAGAAATAAAACCCTAGAAAATATGTCTGTTGATATTGTTAATAGGTAGTTTTGAGTGTTAGTGTTGTAGCGGGTAGTCGAGGATCCAAGTTTGGGTTTCCTCATAGTTACCATTGACATTTGCTGGTGACAAGTGAGGTTTACTCATCCGATGCAACTGTGGTACTTGAAGAAGCAATCCTGTCATGTATATTTTTTTTTTATCACCTCGTATAAAAAGAAACTCTTAATTACAAGGGTCAGAAAATGGATTCAATGATGTTAATAGAGTTTGAGGTGTGTCCGTGCTAATGAAGAGGTGCAAATGACCTGACCCAGCAGATGAGCCTGAGGTGACTCCCACTGTGTTAGCTGGCTAACTGGAACAAGAGATGAGGGTGCCAGACGGCTGTCTGTAAGATTAGGATATATATAATGGCTTCACGGGTGACCGCCGCAATGTCATCGCATCTCCAGATAATGACTTCCCTCACAATGATATCAGCCTCATAGGCCCTATAGAGTGATGGATGATTCTAATCAGATGCTCTATTCATGATTTTATTAATGCCCTTCTACTGAAGGGTTTCAAAATGGCCACCTGTGTACGTTTTTTTAGCCTTTCTGCTCAGTAATGGGGAAGACTGAGACACAAAGCTGGTTGTTGGAGTGTGTTGGCTTCAGCGGCTTTATAGGTCCCAACGCTCTCGCAGTACTCCACATACCACCTTTGTTGGTATTCAGCGGCTAATCCATTGTTACCTGGTGAATATAGCGTGAAAATCCACCGTGCTAAAGCTTGCCACTGGCTTTCTCAGGCTGGGAAGGAGAGAGGGGGAGGGGGGGGGGGGGGGGGGTGAAAGGAGCACATTGGATATCAAATGTCTTCGCTAATTAAGGTATTGAGTTTATGTGTGATTTATGTCCATTAAAGCTCATCGTTGTTTGTGCTGTGGACTATAGAGATGAAGCCTCACCCTTCGTCTTATCGTGGGCGGCAGGTAGCCTAGCAGTTGGAGCGTTGGGCCAGTTACTGAAAGGTTGCTAGTTCAAATCCCCAAGCCGACAATGTGAAAAAAAAAGTCTGTGTCACATTTACAATATAACAACCGCTTGAAGTAGGACAAATATAAGCACCCACCAAGTTATTACTATATTGTGTAGTCTGACTGGATTTGGGTCTTAATTATATTATTATTTATTATATTATTATATTATTATTATATTAGTCCACCTATTGGTTTCTCTGTTTTGCCTCTGTTCTCCTCCCGTCTTCTGAAGTGTGTGGAGCACCATACAGGGCTCTGTAAGGCGTCTGTGTTAGCAATGGGCTTTTCTGTCTGCTCAACGCTGCACTCTTCCCCCCCTCCTCCTCCCCCCTCCCCCCTCCCTCTACCCTCCCCCCTCCACCCTCCCTCTACCCTCCCCCCTCCTCCACCCCCCCTCCACGATCCCCCACTTCAGACAGCCCCTTGCTCTCTAATCTCTCATATGGGTGCTTCGACAAAACAATTGGAAATGTATTACCAAAGGGGAATTAGGTCTGCAGTAATTGAAGTAGGGTCAGTGGTAAGTGGACCATCCTGCCTCCTCTCACACAAAGCAGTTGGGGTTTTCTCTGGCTGGTTATGCTGATGTGAGGGAGGTTTTGTTAGTGGAATCGCTAAAACACTGCTAAAGAGCCTTTTCAAAATGTCTCATTTCAGATCTCATAACAGTGTATGTAGCTAATAGACTTCAGTCATGTCATAGCATATCATGTGGTCCTCTGTAGCTCAGCTGGTAGAGCACGGCGCTTGTAACGCTAAGGTAGTGGGTTCGATCCCCGGGACCACCCATACACAAAAAAAAATGTGTGCGCGCATGACTGTAAGTCGCTTTGGATAAAAGCGTCTGCTAAATGGCATATTATATTATTATATTATAGCTTTAACAATCAATCCATGTAATTGACATGTATAATGGCCTGATGTACACAACCACATGAAAGAGCATTTAACTTAGAAACACAAGTGTATCCCTGCCTTTCTGTCACCTACTGGCAGTAACTATTGTTAGTCCTACAGCTAGAGCCTGAGGCATTGTGGGAACATTCGGGAACGTTAGGGTTCAGGGCCTGAGGCGTTGTGGGAACATTAGGGAACGTTAGGGTTCAGGGCCTGAGGCGTTTGTGGGAACATTAGGGAACGTTAGGGTTCAGGGCCTGAGGCGTTGTGGGAACAGTAGGGACTTAGGGTTCAGGGCCTGAGGCGTTGTGAGGTAACAATTAGGGAACGTTGGGTTCAGGGCCTGAGGCCGTTGTGGAACATTAGGGAACGTTATGTGTTCAGGGCCTGAGCGTTGTGGAACATTAGGGAACGTTAGGTTCAGGGCCTGAGGCGTTGTGGAACATAGGGAAGTTAGGGTTCAGGGCCTGAGGCGTTGTGGGAACATTAGGGAACGTTAGGGTTCAGGGCCTGAGGCGTTGTGGGAACGTTAGGCTGCAGAGCTTGTTTCAGCACGTCACAATGCTAATTAGGCTTTCTCTCATGTCTAGTTCTAGGTCTCTGGACTGTCATGTCTCAGTGTGTCCAGCCCAGGGTCTAGTGCAGAACAACAGACAGACCGGCCTGCCTGCCACACGCTCACGGACATATTTTACTAGAAAACATTTGCAGTGACCAAAGGGTCTTTTAAAAACCACTGCCACTTTTTCCTTACTCAGAACACTTCAAAATACAGTATGGTTTGTAGAATGAAGGTGACACTATGTACTGCACTAGTGCAATATGTAGCCTAAATGAAATGGAAGTAGTTTTGTGTCTTCGTGTGTGCTGTATATGTGTAACTGCATAGGTGTGTGTTGGTGCATGCATACATGTTTTTGGAATTCAATAATTGTATGTGTGCATTTGTCTGTCTGTCTAGAAGTATGTCTCTCTGTCCATGACCATATTGAGAGATGGACCTTGAGAGATGGTCATGGTCATTGGTTGTGGTTTTGCCTCAGCTCTGCTGGTTGGTTTGATTGCCAGGGTCAATGGCCATCTCTAAATCGAGCTGAGCCCACAGGATAATTCCACTCCAGCCTTCCTGTGTGTCCCCACATTTAATTAGACTGAGCTACTGTTGATTCATCTGATAATTGCATTATCAAAGATGATTCACTTGTTCAAACTTCAGCAGAGGTTGGTCTTTGCATGCCTTTGAGCATGCAATTTTGGGACCCATTTTTATATTTTTGATTGAACCTTTATTTAACTAGGCAAGTCAGTTAAGAACAAATTCTTATTTATAATGATGGCCTACCAAAAGGCAAAAGGCCTCCTGCGGGGACGGGGGCTGGGATTTAAAAAAATATATAGGACAAAACACACATCACGAAGAGAGGACACCACAAAACAACTTACATAAAGAGAAGAGAGACCCACAACACTACATAAAGAGAGGACACCACAACCTACCTAAAGAGAGACACCACAACACACTACATAAAGAGAGAACCACAACACTACAGAAAGAGAGACAACCACAACACTACATAAAGAGAGACACCACAACATACCCTAAAGAGAGACACCACAACCTACATAAAGAGAGGACACCACACACTACATAAAGAGAAGACACCACAACGATACATAAAGGAAGAGACACCACAACACTACATAAAGAGAGACACCACAACACCACATAAAGAGAGAACACCACAACACCACATAAAGAGAGACACCACAACACCACATAAAGAGAGACACCACAACACCACATAAAGAGACACCACAACACCACATAAAGAGAGACACCACAACACTACATAAAGAGAGACACCACAACACCACATAAAGAGAGACACCACAACACCACATAAAGAGAGACACCACAACACTACATAAAGAGAGATCTAAAACAACAACATAGCATGGTAGCAACACATGACAACACAGCATGGTAGCAACACAACATGGTAGCAGCACAACATGGTAGCAGCACAACATGGTAGCAGCACAACATGGTAGCAGCACAACATGGTAGCAGCACAACATGGTAGCAGCACAACATGGTAGCAGCACAACATGGTAGCAGCACAACATGGTAGCAGCACAAAACATGGTTCAAACATTAATAGCACAAAGGCAAGAAGGTAGAGACAACAATACATCACGCGAAGCAGCCACAGGTGTCAGTAAGAGTGTCCATGATTGAGTCCTGACTAAAGGATATTGTGTGGTGGTACTTGAGGTTCGATCTTTGAGGTCAGCAAGGCATTTGGTTCTTTGTATTGATGATGACTTCATTCACATGATTGGTATGGTTCTAAAATATGGTGTTTGCTCTTTCTCTCTCTCTCTCTCTCTCTCTCTCTCTCTCACAGTCAAATCCGAGAAGATGGACAAACCAGAGAAAGAGGAGAATATGGACAACTTTGAGAAGTTGGACCAATTTCAGATGTTAGATAAGCTAGACAAAGTGGAGAAGAAGGATACGACTGCGAAGACTGAGGCGTCAGTGAAGGTGGAGTACACAGAACCACTGGACAAAGGAGAGAAGGTGGATCAAATGGACAAGGCAGAGAAAACAGAAAAGCTGGAGCCAACAGATAAGGCAGAAAAGACAGAAGAAGAAGAAGAAGAAGAAGAAGAAGAAGAAGAAGAAGAAGAAGAAGAAGAAGAAGAAGAAGAAGAAGAAGAAGAAGAAGAAGAAGAAGAAAACCAGAGATGATGGATAAAATGGACAAGAAGACTGACAAGGTAGAGAAGATGGACAAGTTAGAGAAGACTGACAAGGTAGAGAAGATGGACAAGGTAGAGAAGACTGACAAGGTAGAGAAAATGGACAAGGTAGAGAAGACTGACAAGGTAGAGAAGACTGACAAGGTAGAGAAGACGGACAAGGTAGAGAAGACTGACAAGGTAGAGAAGACTGACAAGGTAGAGAAGACGGACAAGGTAGAGAAGACGGACAAGGTAGAGAAGACGGACAAGGTAGAGAAGACTGACAAGGTAGAGAAGACTGACAAGGTAGAGAAGACTGACAAGGTAGAGAAGACTGACAAGGTAGAGAAGACTGACAAGGTAGAGAAGATGGACAAGGTAGAGAAGACGGACAAGGTAGAGAAGACGGACAAGGTAGAGAAGACGGACAAGGTAGAGAAGATGGACAAGGTGCAAAAGACAGACAAAGAAGAAAAACCAGAGAAGATGGACAAGGACGAGAAGACTGGAAAGGTAGAGAAGGTGGACAAGGTGGAAAAGCCTGGGAAGACAGAACAGGAAGAAGTGGAGAAGGCACCAGAGAAACAGGAGACGTCGGTGAAGTCGAACACATTTGACCATATGGAAACACAGTCTGACAGGGAGAAGACAGACCATGTTGGAAAGGTAACAGTAACAGCTGAGAAAGAAACAGACAGAGCAGAGAAGCCCACAGACAAGGTGGAGGAAGAGAAGAAGCCAGAGAAAACAGACAAGGTGGTGGTGGAGGAGGAGAAGGAGGAGGAGAAAACAGACAAGGTGGAGGAAGAGAAGAAGCCAGAGAAAACAAACAAGGTGGTGGAGGAGGAGGAGAAGGAGGAGGAGAAAACAGACAAGGTGGAGGAAGAGAAGAAGCCAGAGAAAACAGACAAGGTGGTGGTGGAGGAGGAGAAGGAGGAGGAGAAAACAGACAAGGTGGAGGAAGAGAAGAAGCCAGAGAAAACAAACAAGGTGGTGGAGGAGGAGGAGAAGGAGGAGGAGAAAACAGACAAGGTGGAGGAGGAGAAGAAGAAGCCAGAGAAAACAGACAAGGTGGAGGAGCAGAAATCGGAGAAAAAAGAGCTGAAAAGTCCTGAGAGGAAAACGGACAAGATAGCAGAGATAGCTGATAAGGCCAAAAAAACTGCAAGTAAACCTTCGACCAATGGGAGCGGTGCCGCACCAAGCCGGGACCTGCCCAGTCCAGACAAGAAGACCAAGGTAGGCCAGAGTCGAGGTTTAAAGAGGAACATGATCAAATCATACATCATTCATGCTGCTGCTGCTTCTACTTTATTATCCGTACAGTAGTGAGATTGTAGTCCATTGAACTCACTTTCATTTAAGTAATATCAGTCATAACATTATTATCAGAACAATGAAAATATTTTGTTCCTTGTTTTAGTGCAGATTTTAACTCGACTTCTTCATTGAGTGTTTGTTTTTATCAGGCACACAGTTCCATTTGTTGGTATTCTGTTGATTAAGGCTGCTTCTGTTGATTAAGGCTGCTTCTGTTGATTAAGGCTGCTTCTGTTGCTTTCTCCTGCTGCTGTTATCCTGCTGCTGTTATCCTGCTGCTGATATAATGCTGCTGTTATCCTGCTGTTGATATCCTGCTGCTGTTATCATGCTGCTGTTATCCTGCTGCTGATATCCTGCTGCTGTTATCATGCTGCTGTTATCCTGCTGCTGTTATCCTGCTGCTGATATCCTGCTGCTGTTATCCTGCTGCTGATATCCTGTGTTTTGTTGTTTTTCTTTCTCGCTTTCTTTTGTTCTTTCTGTTTCTCTCCATTTGTCTGGTGTGCCGTCCATCGCGCAGCCTGTCGCCAGGGCAACCAAACCGAGCGCTGCTAAGCCGCGGCCGAGTCCCCCTAAACGCCCCACCCCTTCCACCCCTTCCTCCACCTCAGCCAACCTTGGCAAAAAAACGCCCATGCCCAAGGCCCCCACCCCCACCGCTGGCCACAAGCGGCACTTGTCCGCAGCCAGCCGCCCCGCGTCCGCAGCCACCACCTCCACCACTGCACCCTGTGAGGTCAAGCCCAAGGTGAGTGCCCCCTGCCCTGCTTTAGGGACAGCCGAAGTCCCCTCCACCTTCAGATATCGGCACCTCCATACCCTACCACTGTGTGGTGTCGGTCTGTCTAGGGAAACTACTACCTACTTCTACTCTAGTAGCCTGTCTTTTTATCTCCTATTCATCATGTTGTTGATCAGAAGAATGGGCATGTTCAGTTCTGTTTAGCATAAGTGTTAGCTTAGCTAGCTACTATATTAATTTCCACAGGAGCTGTAAATTAGACACTGTCTGACTGCTGTGGTGCTCAGAGCATAATCCGCCTGTAAGGTATCCACCTTTTTAAACTTGGCTCCCAGTAAGCCCTTGTGTCCCGAGTGCTGAGTGGCCGTCCACAGGATTACTCAGAGCACGGTTCACAGAGGGGAGAGGGCCAGAGGGGAGAGGGCCAGAGGGGAGAGGGCCAGAGGGGAGGGGGCCAGAGGGGAGGGGGCCAGAGGGGAGGGGGCCAGAGGGGAGGGGGGCCAGAGGGGAGGGGGCCTGAGGGGAGGGGGCCAGAGGGGAGGGGGCCAGAGGGGAGGGGGCCAAAAGGGGGGAGAGGGGAGAGGGGGAGAGGGCGGGGGAGGGGAGAGGGGAGAGGGCCAGAGGGGAGAGGGCCAGAGGGGAGGGGGGCCAGAGGGGAGGGGCCAGAGGGGAGGGGGGCCAGAGGGGAGAGGGCCAGAGGGGAGGGGGCCAGAGGGGAGAGGGGAGGGAGGGCAGAGGGGAGAGGGGAGGAGGGCCAGAGGGGAGGAGAGGGCCAAGAGGGGAGAGGGGGCCAGAGGGGAGAGGGCAGAGGGGAGGGGGAAGAGGGAGGGGGAAGAGGGGCCAGAGGGGAGGGGGGAAGGGCCGAGGGGAGGAGAGGGGGAGGGGAGAGAGGGCCAGAGGGGAGAGGGCCAGAGGGGAGGGGCCAGAGGGGAGAGGGCCAGAGGGGCGAGAGGGAGGGGCAGAGGGGGAGGGGAGGGAGAGGGGAGGGGGCCAAAAGGGGAGGGAGAGGGCAAGGGGGGGGGCCAGAGGGGAGAGGGGGAGAGGGGAGGAGGGAGGAGGGGGGAGAGGGCCAGGGGGAGAGGGCCAGAGGGGAGGGGGCCAGAGGGGAGGGGGCCAGAGGGAGAGGGGAGAGGGGGAGAGGGGAGAGGGCCCGAGGGGGAGGGCCAGGGAAGGGGAGGGGCCAGAGGGGAGGGGGCCAGAGGGGGAGGGGGCCAGAGGGGAGGGGGCCAAGAGGGGAGAGGGAGAGGAGGGCCAGAGGGGAGAGGGGGGGGGGCCCAGAGGGGAGGGGGCCAGAGGGGAGGGCAGAGGGAGGGGGCCAAGAGGGGGAGGGGCCAGAGGGGAGAGGGCAGAGGGGAGGGCCAGAGGGGAGGGGGCCAAGGAGGGGGGAGGGGGGAGGGGAGAGGGTCAGAGGGGAGGAGGGCCAGAGGGGGAGGGGGCCAGAGGGGGGGGAGGG